TGCAGGCCATGGTTGCCAAGCGACGTGATCGATGCATGGTACATCCTCTTACTTTTAAACTCATGAATTTGAAATGGTGAGTGTATTYATATGTCGACTGACACCCAGAAGTATCAGAAYAGGCCTGCSTTATTCTCAGTCTGCGTCTCTCAGTTGAGCTAAAGCGTACCTAGAGCCTGCACTTTTGCCGTCCAGCCGAAGTCATTGCTGTGTCAGCAGACCGCTGACATCTAGTCATAAAGACTRTGGGCTCGAGACAAATTGTCACTTAAACCGCAGACTGCTACTGAGCCTTCAAGCATGTATTTAACAAGTAAAAGGATGAAGTGCTTACCCTTTTTTTCTTGTCCACAGGTTGACGTATGGTTGGATTTCTTTATCTTTGAGTATTTTCTCGTATCTTTGCTACTTGATACCGCTGACTACACTAGCTGTTCACGTGAAGACAGAAGAAGCGCCATTATGCAAATTCAACGAATCGATAGACAAACGCGTAAGTACTTAAAGCACTCAAAGCACTCTTCTGGGTATATGTTGTGGTACCGAGAACAAAGAAATTGAAAGCGAAACAACAGAAAAATTTAAATATGTATTTTAACTTGAAAATTGTTTTGTATGATAGGAACAGCAAAACCTGGCCTGCTTGAGGGAAGATAAGGTAAACTTGCCACAAAGCTGTTTCATCAAAAGCAAATCTACATTTTATTGTGCTATTTTAGCACTCAAATATTTGATTAGTAATTTTTTTGTGGGGTGGGAGTAGCACGTTTTTACTCTAGTCAAACAATTAGTATTTTTTTACACTGGATGTGTTTTTGTTCGTTTTAGACCACCCTACTTCTGCAATACATTGTGATAGCCATGACTGCGGTTCAAATTCTGAGGGAGTTTCTTCAGATGTATACAATAGTAAGTTAGTAATGTTCGGACATCCATACATTTTGTCGAGCTTCGGGCTTCAACAGTTTGCTTCATGACCGTGATAGAATTCCATCCCTCCCGTCCCCTCCCCTGAAGTTTTTTTTTTTTTCGTTTACAGCGTATGATGTATTTCCRGTCCCTTTCAAACTACATGGAGTGGATGGCTTACGTGCTTACGCTAATGTTTGTAATTCCGTCGTGTCAGTGTAAATGGGGYTGGCAGCARAATTTCGGTGCTGTAGCGCTGTTCTTTAGCTGGTTAAATTTGATCCTCTACTTTAGAAAGTAAGTCACTCAAACCATTGTCACGTTATATGGTTGAAATCACGTGACCAYSACCGGTATCACGTGACTATGATCCGTATGATCCATTCAAAACAACAGTAAATTTTACCTTCTTTTGTATTTTCGTTGAAAGTCTATACATGTTCTCAGACGCGTATATCTATAAAAAGAAATGACAAAATCTTTCAGTAAAAGAACCGAATATCTGCAAATTGAATAATAGARGATCAGATACTAAACTGCATTTTGGCGCTTTTTACGCAGGTTGTCGTTCTATGGTCAATACGTCATCATGTTGTATACGATGTTCATCACCCTTCTCAAGGTATTTACTGGTTATTTCAAATTTCAAGATACACAATTTTTCAATCACTGGACTTTTTTACTGTTTCTGTTTTGGTAATGTAGGTTTTGATGTTGTTTTTCCTGTTTGTAATGGCTTTTGGAACAACGTTCTATTTTGCCCTGGACAGAAAGGTAATATTCACAATGTCGACGTCCTCGTTTGATTAACAAACGCCTTAAATCGACCACCACTTTGAATCTACATCTAATTTTCTCTCTCCCTTGATCTCATCGACAGGCTCTTTGGAGTCACACTCAATGTTTTAGAAAAGATGTATTCTTATCAGTCGATTTATATCGACCGCGATACTTGATCGACCAAATCGATCTCCTAATGGTTATACTTCAATAAATCACCCCCAATAAACCGAACATCACCTCACCAAATCGACCAGCTAAACTTTATTGACTTRTATTGTTTCACAAAGGATGCATTCACCAAGCTGGAGCACTCCTTGATGACAATATTCGTAATGACACTTGGCGAGATGAACTACGGAGAGACGTTTATGCCATGGAAAGATCTACCGCATCCTACTCTAACCAACGTTTTGTTTGTCGTGTTCGCGCTCAGTATGCCTATCATTCTTATGAAYATGTTGGTGAGTTGACTTATGCACCTGTCAGCGGCTTACCCCCTCCCCTCCCCCCCAAAAAAATAAATAAAAAAAATCCCGAAATGCAACTTCAAAATACCTTGTCCACACGAAGTAGGACAATTTTGTTCATGAATATTTTTTATGATGACACATTTGTTAGCGTCCATACATCCGCGGTACTCATAGCGTTTCTATTCTAGAGACAATTTTCAAATATGCGGATACGTATAAGACTCCTCGCAACGCGACACCAGAAACGCGCTGCCAGTTGTTTAGATACGTATAAGACTCCTCGCAACGCGACACCAGAAACGCGCTGCCAGTTGTTTAGATACGTATAGATGCAATCTGGCTTTATTCGTTAAAGGACATTAGAAGACACAAAACTTGTAAGTGGAAACGTAATTGTTTTCTCGATAGGTTGGTCTTGCTGTCGGTGACATTGATAGTATTATGAAGAATGCAGCAATGGATCGTTACGTGATGCAGGTAACGGTGACTGTAATTGGCTGATACATATTCCACTCGTGTGGCACCCCACTTGCGTGACAATTTTTGCGTAGCAATTTTTTTTATGAGAAGTTCGCGTGGCGGTCCCCTTTCAATATCAAATGCCCCACTGATTTGAGTGATTCACTCGCGCGACAACTCGAACGTCGTGGACCCACGTGACCACCGAAGAGTGAACAGTGACTAACAACGCGAAAAGCCACCAAAAATTGCCTCAATTAAACCGAAAATGAAAGCACCGTTAAAAGATATAACTGTTTATTAGATCGAGATGCTGCTTGATACTGAAGACACTCTGCCTCAAAGGGTTCGCAGACGTCTTAAGTTTGACAAGAGTGTCGAGCTCCCAAACAGAAAAGTCAAACTTAGGACTAAGGTAAGTCTAAAAGTGTCGATCGATATTGTAAAGCTGTAATGTAAAATCTGCTTTATTTTCAAAAACCTTCGTTTAAGTATACACCCAATTGAAAAAAGTTGGGTTCAAGCAGGTTACATYGTCGTTATGACCGAGTGGGAGCATGGGAAGGTAAATAGTAGTTTCTCTCACGTTCCCGACGCCATTTTGAAAGGTTGCAGTGCCTTGGAATCGAAACGAGACGAAAGTTGAGAGTCATTTGACTTTACATGTAGTTTAGACGATGTCGGTAATCTTTCTAATCCTGACAGTGTTTTTTTCAGTTAGTTTAACGACATTTTAGGAAGAAAAAGAGAGATTAAAATCTGAGTTTGCAGTTTTCATGCTCTTTTGTTGTTGTTCAAGATCTACCATGCCATATTTGGGTTTACACATCCTGGCGAAGATGAAGTCGACAACACAGAGGAAAGCAAGATCGATCAAATGAGAGAGAAACTAGAGGAACAAGAAAACAAGTACGAAAACATAAAAACAACTTGTAGTACTTACAGTTCCTCGATCTAGACAAAGCCTCCTGTGTAGGAAACACAAGAACGGATGGGCTTCCTTTTRCTTCCAGACAGAGTGAGAGACATAGGGCGCCTCCGGAGGAGACTAGTCTAGATACAGGAAAGAGAACTGGTAGAAAAGAGAAGGTGTTTTGCATTGTTGTCTCCAAAGATAAAACTGCTTCAACATCCCATTCCAACTGTGGGTTAATTACTTAGCGTTGATTTGAGGTGGCAATAATTTACTTCATATTTTCTTTCAGGATTCAGCAGATTTACGATCTATTACAGTTCCAGTCTCAAATGTTGTTCAAACTCAGCAAAGACAGCATGGAYACCGAGACTGAAGCCTCGAAAACCAGCAAACGAAAAAAGTTTTTGTTTTGAGATATAACTTGTATCGAAAAGGCCCATTCCTTCATTGTCTCGGGCGCCAATAAGATGTCATACACTGGATACTCCATCATCAATGATATACCAAGAAAGCTTGCACAACTCCTCCTCTGGATTTCTGTCTGTACATTAAAGSTGTATAAAATGTTTGCTTAACTCTCTAATAAATTCTCTACAGTATCTATTGCCCATTTTACAGTAAATCGCGAAGCTTCGGTCATTCAGCAAAAAAGTTTGTTTTTAAATAAATATTTAAACAGATTGCAACCTATATTCACTACCCTCTGTGAAGCAGTCAAAGACCTATACCTGTCACGCATTTAAAAAATTATGATAGAATAACATATATACATTAGATACATTTTACACCGTTACTTTCCCCATGGAGACCATTTCCTGAACCTTACGACCCAAAAATACATAAAGAGCCCGTACTCTTTTCGTCCAGCGGAAGTCAACGCATTGACTTCCGCTGGATGGCAAAAGTGCGGGCTCTGGGTACGAGACTGACATTTGTCGGTGAAGACTCTGGGTTATCTCGGTTCTGCTAGTGGTCATTTGAACTCAAACTATCGGATTTCGTAAAATATAAAAATATATCGAAAAAGATTGTGTAAAGTAAAATTAAGATTCACGAAACAAGATCGTAGYTACAGTCAATATTTTCTTGTGGTCAGCGTTCTGCTTATAAACTGTTGACAAGTGACGTCAAAAATTAGGCAGCGCGCGCGCGCCCTTTGCGCGCTCAGCAGTGCATCCGACTATGAAAAAAATCCATTGTTTTGCAATTTATCGCATTTTAAACAGACTATGTTTGATGTAAACACTGACGCATCTTTAACTTTAGAAGAAAATAAAGAAAAAATTGATTATCAACACAATTTGAGGGACAGAATAATCATTCACGCATGCGCACAATGTTGATCGTGACGTACAMATTTCTAGTGACGTAACAATCAGGTTTCAAAGCAGATTCTCACACTTGCCTAATCTTTTTGTGAGAGAAGGACACGAATTTTCACTGAGCGATTTACTTCACTGATTTTCCAAAGATGTCAACTTGTATAGCTACATTGATCGAAATGTTCAACAAAGACATGGAGCGCGCTGCACTCGAGGACAGTACAGAGTCTCCTTGGGGCGCAATGCAGAAAAACCTTGGAGAAAACTTTCTCGGGCAAAAGAACTGTGGTGTTGACGATGATTTCAAGAAAAGCCCCGATGATGATGATCTCTCTGCTGCGCAAAATCACGTTTTCTGCAGCAAACTTCCGTTGGATCCTTTTGATTTGAACAAAAGCCCCGTTCAAACAGCCGTCCGTGAAACAGAGATGCTACTTTCAGCATTGAACGTCAGCACCGCAAAACAAGACAAACATAGTATGCCATTACTTACTGGAAATGAAGACTCTGRTAGAAACAAAGCGATTGTCAGCCAGATGTCTGCGGCGGCTGAGATACATCCACATGGCAATCTACAAACAGAGAATGGTAATCATACAATATCACTATATAATAATGATGATACATTTTATCTTGCGCATGGAATAATCATTGGCTTCGCTGTTCAGAAGCGTGATGTTTTTGTTTGCTTACTTATTTGTAGGTGTTGTTTTTTTGTTTCTTGTTCGTATGGTTTTTTTTAGTGCATAAGTATAAATTCATAAATAAAACAAAATTATTTTCTTAATTTGAATATAGTGTTRGAGGAATACCCATCAAATTATAACCAGCGCACTCCAGAACAACTACACATGCTGTTTGGTGCAGACGTACCAGCAACTACGAAAAAAGATTCACAAGACGAAAAGACTTTTGCTGGTATCCACCYAATCCCATCTAATGACTCAGAATCTAAAATGAAAGGTAAGCTGTACTGCCGCAACTTTAGTTATCGTCACTTTTACCTTGAATTTGATGTCGAGATGTGAAGAACTCTTTCTCACTCTTTGCCAAAAATTGTTCTGAAATTATATAACAAGGTTAATGTCTATACTAAGACTCATAAATTAGATACGTCATTGAAGTTAGTAACTTAAATTCGTAAAACTCCAAAAAAGTCATACATTGTAGATGATATAAAAGTTAACTTGATTTCAGAGAGGTCCGTGCAGAGGTCTGTCACCATTTTCAAATGCTTGTTTATTAATAAGCTTACATGTTGAATAAAAACAAAAGAAAAAAGATAGTCATACCTTAATTATGCCTTTTTCTTGTTCGTAAAAAAATTACTGAGAACTTTTTCGTCATCTTCCTGAAAAATAAACAGCAATTGAATTCATTTTGATTTTTTTGAAAACGTCTGTTTCATACAAAGTCGAGCGGAAAGTCGAGCAAGTTTCTTGTCTGTTTTACCTTTCATTTTGAAAGACACGACACATTTTAATATTTTGCTTCGTTAGAGAATCCAATTTTTTCTTCTTTCTGGTTCTTTTTTCAATCTTGAGGGATCTTGAGGTCAAGTTTTTACGCTGAAAAATCCTCAAAACGCGAGATAGCTGCTGGTGGACGAGCTCCTTGAATCAGCACCTGAATGGCTTCCTGATGATTTGATTGGCTATTGCCAGGCATATCTATTTTTTGATTGGTTGATCCTYAAAGGATCTACAATACAAGTCACGTGATACGAAATATGAGAAAGTTGACGGATTTTTTAGCAAAACTCATTTTAAAGAAATTAAATAACTAAGATTTCTTCATTCTATCCAATTATTCTAGAAGATTATCCTACTGACTACAACCAGCGAACACCAGAACATCTCCATTCGCTGTTTGGCGTACAAAATGAAGAAAAAACAGGACTTGTAGTCCATCCAGTGAYCAAGCCATCTCATGACTCCAAATCCCACACAAACGGTGAGTATTAAACGTATTAGACTATTGCATGTCGAGGCTTGCTTGGGAGTTATTATTCTCCTGAGGAAGCAACTTTTTCATATAAATGCGGACAAATTTTCTAAACATATCTTTTTTATATGTATTCAGAGCGCAAAATATTGGGAAATTACCCCATTGGCTACAACCAACGATCACCTGAACATCTACACTCGCTGTTTGGTGCCACACAAACCACTGAGAACCAAGGAATTACAACTGCGCCAAATACACAGTGCAAAGTATCGTCTCGCAAAGCAAGATCAAAGAAAAACGGTACTTTATATTCAATGAATAAGTCTTTCGCGTTCTGTTCAACTTTCATTTTTTCAGTCGTCATTCAGGTTGCTAACTTTGCACTTTTGGGATTATTTTAGTGCCRATTATTCTTGGAAGTTACCCGAAAGACTATAATAAACGAACAAAAGAGCATTTACACTTCCTGTTTGGAGCGAAGGCACAACCACAAATGAAGGTGAGACGAAAAAAAAACTTGAAAAAAAACTTTTACCATTTATTGTCAACCGAATGAGGCGAGGCGGGCGCGCCCTACCTTGAATGGACCCAATAATGTTTTTTTCTGTTATATTGGACGAGTTAAAACGAATGTTGTTTTGGAATTTTAATTGAAGGACGAAGAAAAGAAACAAAAGAATGAAAGAAAAAACAAACAGAAGAAAAWTGACAAACAGAAGAAGATGAATAACAAGACCAAAAAAGGTTTGTTCCCTGCTCAAGTCCTCATGCCGCCCTCTAATTCATCAATCTTAATCTTACATCACTTTCTWATTTGCAGGTCAGCAAACCTCGAACACTTCTACGTCCTCCASCTCTGAGACTTCACCGAAAGAAGTCCAGAAAGACAAAACAAGCCTGCTCGCCTTCTTACGTATAAGTCGTAACAAGAAACATGCATAAATTATCATTTTGTAAATATCGAATACATTTGAATTTGATCTCCTTGATCAAAAATATCAGAAATTCTGTAAATAGTTTTTTGTAAATAATACGTAATGGCAATGATAAAAAATATGAATATCAGCAATAAACGCTTGATGACATTGTYATTAAAACGTATCCACACTCGTCTTTTTCATAAAGTTTTTCTGACTCAGTCTTAAAGACCCGCGTGCATCCAGAAGCCTTTGCGATCGTTTCTTTTGTTTTGCAAATGATCTCTTGCTGAAAAGTGCTTCCTGATTTGCTCAAAAGATGGCAAATTTTCGTATCTGAGAAAATCGCGCAAGAGTKTTTGGATGCAAGTCGGTCTGATCTGTGATATCAACAAACACAGTCGTCAACTAATGAGAGACCGAGTTATACATCAAAAATATCGATAGTTCCAATTTTTCGAAATCAAAGAAGATACAAAGCGTTGATCATGAAAATACTGTTACCTTTCAAAAAATAGTTTATTTACAAAGTAAAAAACGTATTTACAATGCAAAAGAAATAAAAAGTTGGCACCGTTTTCGGCCACAGTTCCCATTGCATCTTGGTCTGCTTATTCACGCTAGTATCCTTTGTACTATCGCTTGGCTTTTATACTCAAATAATTACACTTGATTCCGTTGTTTATAATGTGAGTGCAAAAAAAATTCAGTGACTTTATAAAAGAAAATAAGCGGTCACGCGGAGATACCACATAGACTTGCGCGTCCCATTGTGATTACGTGGCAATACTGTGACGTCATCGTGCCATGCAGTGACCATTATACGTCATTAACAATGTTAAGCCAGTTATTTGCGCATATCATAGTCAATGATATGAAAATCACTCACGTTACTGTCATTATCATAARCCAAGCAGTTCGTCTGAGTTTAATGAGCTAAGAGAACTTGACAAATCCGATATTTCTGGATTGATATCCACTGAAACGAAAAAAAAAATAAAAAAATAAATACCAATACTTATATTTAATAATTGTGAATCAAGTTCTGAAAGTACGAATATGTACCTCTCAGAGAGTTAGTATTCATTTGAATCGAAGTCAAATCGGTGTCTGTATCACTGTCTATGGCCAAAAARGCAGAGCTCATGTCCAGATCACTATCTGACAACGACACGTCCAGGTCTTTGGCTGGGGTTTTTCTCTGGGACTTCTTTCCAGTTGATGCATGGCCATTCAAAAGAGTACCTTTCGTTTTGGGATGTTTAGTCTCCTGAGTTTTGGATTTGGAAGTGTTACTGCTACTACCTGTGGTAATACAAAGATCAATGATAAAATTTACCGAGCAAACTCGCACAAATATCATTATCATCATTATCATTAACGGACGATAATGTACTGTAACCTGTGACCACAATCGTACTGTAACCAAATTCTAGTGTCTCATTGCTTCACAAAAATTGTGTAGGGCAGCGGTAACCGTGCGGTAATTTCTACCGTACGTTTCCCACTCATACGAAATTGACTCTATTTACAGTACCATGTCTTTTAATGAATTTTTTGTACTACTGCATTAATCCAGGGTTAACTCCAAATATTTTTTTAAGAGGATTAAAGCTAATCGAGCTTTGAACAACCCAGCCCTGATCTTTACCTGATAATGGCCTATGGTTCCGATGAAGAAGTCTCTGTCCTTGAGAATCAGATTCCCATTCTGACACTTGCCTTGAAAGATCATTAATTTTTTGCCTGTTCAAATTTATAATCAGTTTTATAGTGYATTTTACTGTGAAACAACAAGAAATTGCTTGAATTACATTAACACTTTGTAATCTTTTTKAATATAGCACAAAATTGCACTAAAGAAAACAAGATTACAAAAGATTTTGCAATCATTTCATTAGCTCAAATTAACAATTAGACCTCGAGGTCGAGTGGACTATGAGCTAATAGCCCATGAGGCCGAGTCTGCGAGGCCGAACTTGGGCTATTAGCTCGTAGTCCACGAGGCCGAGAGCTCTAATTGTTTTAGTATAAACATACTAATCGGTCAGATAAATAAATGAAAACAAATTGAAATATCCTAAAAAAATTTATAATTTATTTATTTTGATTTTCCTGCTAGTGGTCTATCACAAATTAGACCATTAGTAGAGTAGCCAATCACAGCGCAGTATGAGTGATAGACCATTTAGTATGTTTATACTAACAGCCGTTATTTGACTCGTTCCAATGAGTTTTGGAGAGGCATGGGAACAAGCCAAATAACAGCTGAGAGAGGAGACTAGCAATCATTTGCGACATTTTGTTTGCAAACTATTATTGTGACATCATTACGTCAAGCATGCAAGAGCTATAAACTGTACCTCAGACTTCCCAACTCAAAAGATCTCATAYCCCTGTCATCTACCATACTTTCCAGACTGTGTGACTGCGATCGTTGGTTTTCAGAAAGAACTGTTACTGTCTGTAAGAATCAAGAATCAGATAGAGTACACTTAATTTTGTTTGAGACTTTGCTTACGATAAACAACAACACTAACCCTGTCAATTCGATCAAGACGTCTGGCCGAGTCCCTRGCATCTGATATAGTTGAATTAGTATCCATTTCAAGTTTGCCTGCAAAAAAGGAAAATATCTAGAGAAAGGAAGGAAGAGAAGTAGGAAAGGAGAAATGGGAAGCGAGGAGAAATGGATGAAAGAAAATCAAGGATTAAAAGGAAGGGTCTCCATAAGACAGAAATAGAATAACATAAACTAAGAAAGAATGATGGMTGAAATAAGAATGAAAGGAGAGAAGGATGAGAGGTAGAAACTCTGGATCAATCTTGCTATACTCACTRATACGAGTCTTGACATGATCCATCTCTCTCCTTAAAGATTCACAATCATCTTGTGCTAATCGTTTGCTGCATATACGTAAGAACATGAGTTACAAAGTACACCCTATACTAGCCTCGAGAGATCCTTGTAGTAGCTGCTATACTTACTTGTCTTGTATATCTCTTGCCAAAGATGCTGTACTTAGATCTCCATGTGAACTGTTACCCTTGTCATTCAATCGATTTTGGTTTTGAATCGTCTGCAAATGGCTGTACATTTCTCGTTTAAACTAAATGGATAATAACAATTAAGATTTTAGGCTTTTATGGCTGTTCACTGTTCACTCCCTAAATAAATAGCTTTATTTTACGAGGGTAGCACATTACAGTCAAAGACTGATAAACTCGTGGCCCTCCTCTCACACTCACTAGCACACAACACTCCTTACATGTTGATTTTTGTTGAGGGAGGAAAACCGGAGGACCTGGAGAAAAACCCTTGTGGCAAGGGAGAGAACGCAAGGGAGAGAACAACACATCAAACAAACTCAAACTCACATATGGTCCGTGCCCGGGAATCGAACCCGGACCACAGCTGTGAGAGGCCAGTAGCTTAACCACTAGGCCACCCATGCCATCCCTGGGGTTGGGTGAGGGGCAGTAGTGTATGTGCCAATCAGAACATCCATAAGAAAGAATCTACATTCAATATATATGCAATATACCTGTTCAAGCTTTCGCTCAGTCTGTAAATCAACTCCTTGCTCTCTCAGTCTATCATTAAGTTTGACAACTTGACCTGTGAAAGAATGAATTAGCCTGCGTAGCAGCTCTTGGGGGACTGGGGAGAGGACAAAAGGGGATGGGGGGGAGAGGAAATTTGTTCATTGTAATTTCTCTATGCCATAGATTAAAGTATATATATATTGAATGCTGTCAATGCTCTAGAGAATTTTCAAGAGAAATCTATTGCTTCACATAGCTGTTCAGAATGGTCCACTTGGGACAATTGTTTACTGAATGCTGTCAACACTTACTCTGCAAACTTGAAATCATTTCTGCTTGAACKTTTCTCTCCTTTTCCAACATTTTAACAGTTTTACTTAATGATTCAATCATCTAAGGATATTAAGAACATTA